AACTCTTTTATTAAAAAACAACTGGAGGAGAGAGACCAACAAAACAACACATCAGCACTGAGGGGGATGGGGAAAGGGAGGGCCCCAGGAGGAGGCGGCGTCTTGGGGAAGTGGGGGGGCGCCTGGGAAAGAGTTTTGCGACAGTGGCTGCAGGGGAAGACTGGCGTGGAACTGCTCGGTTTGCAGTGCTATAGTGCCTGGAGCGTGTCCGCTTGGCACTCCATAAAATTTAAGAGCTGCTCCGTGGCTTCGTTCTGGTGTGTTGCGTTCTCCTGTTGGTCCCTCTTCTCGCTGTCCCACCACTCCTTCAATTTTTGTTTTTCGGCCATGGAGTGCATCATGACATCATGCGGAAAGTCCTCTTTAGTTCTTCGTGGACGCTTTCTAATTCTGCACAGCGGTTCAGCCAGCGATAAAGAGGGAGGCTGGACTCCCAAGGTCATATCTGTGAAGCCAAAATACAGAGCATTTACAGAAGCAGTATTGTTTGCAACACAGAGACCACTGATTCAGTGATTTTTAAAACACAGCCATTGTTCACATACCTGTCACTAACTGGCTGACCCCAGGCAAGCACACATGAGCCACAAGACCCCCCAAATGGTGAGTAACCACAGCGGCAGGAAAAATCAGGTTCCAGGACCGTACGGTACACTGGGCACGTGGCTCTTGGGGAGAGCCAGCACTGTAGGGGGGGCTTTATAATCATTACTGTATTTTCCACAGGCTGTGTTCATTATGGAAGATATCTTGCTGCTGAGAGTGAACAGGGAATCAAGGAAGGGTCTTTTCTAAGACTGCGGCTTCTGCCCTGGCCCTTATGCGGCTCGCCTGTGTGCAGCAATGGTCTCCCTTCCCCCCCTCCCCCCTCCATGACGGCAGAGTGGTGCAGGAAAGTTACCTTTAATGGTGCAAGAAACAAAGCAGCTCTGCCAAAGAACCTGTGATAGCAGATTGCCCAGTGTCTCCATGAGAGTTTTGTGGAGATCTCTGAGGCAGATTCCTATGAAGTGAGGGAGTCAAGCAACATCATACAGACACACGCCTGCTTTCTGCAATCTTCATGCTCCCAACAACTCGCTTTAGCGATTTCCTAAAATCAAAGCCACTTTCCCAGGCGTCTCCTCTCCTGTTTGCGTTTCCTCTAAGGCAGAGAAGAGCTCCTGGCTGCATGCATCTCTGACCTCCGAGTCGTCTTCTGCCTCTGGGTCCCCATCCTTGTTCAAGATTTCCTCCTCCTGGCTCGGTCCACTATTGACTGGCATGTGAGCCACTGAAGTATCCACAGTGACCTTCGCAGTGGAGGTGGGGTCGCCAGTGAATATCGCGTCCAGATCTTTGTATAACCGGCAGCTCATAGGCGTGGAACTGGAGCGGCGGTTTGCCGCCCAAGCCATTCTGCAGCTCCTTCACTTTGACCCTACATTGCAGTGTGTCCCAGTCATGGCCCCTTTCTGTCCTGAATCATGAGATCTGGCCGTAGGTATCATAATTCCAATGGCTGGAGCGCAGCTGGGCCTGGATAGCCTCCTTTCCCCAAATGCTGATGAGGACCAGCAGCTCAGAGTACAGAGGATCGCCTGGTACATGGAGCAGGCATGGTCACCTGGAAAGATGTGCTGAGACTGATGACCAGAAAGGCAAGAACAGGCATTGTGCATGTGACTGGGGTCTCAGCTGGGGCCAGCTGAGGTCATTCAATTAGGGTAAACCCCAAAGAATGGGGAAGACACTCCGCATAAAGCTGGTGGATATTCCAATACTTAGATTTACCAAGCCACCATACAACAGCTTCTTTATTACCTTACTGGTTACTCAGAAATCCAAACAACACAGGTATCTGGATGGAGGCCTGAGGCTGGATCGCTTTAAGGGAACTAAGTCAAATATGATGATTTCTGAAAGTCTTATTTCATCATATAAAAGAAAAGGTTCTACCCGTCCCAAAGGCTTAGACACATTACCTCCCAGGTTAATGAATGTTTCAGATCTTACCCAAATACACGCTCCAGCCAATTCTTATTAACTAAATTAAAGTTTATTAAAAAACAAAAAAGAGAGAATGGTTAAAAGATCAATATACATACAACCATGAGTTCAATTCATTGAGGTTTAGATTCATAGCAGAGATGGTGAGCTTTGTAGTTGCAAAGAGTTCCTTTAGAATTCACTTCATAGGTTATAGTCCAATGTGCAAATATCATAGTCAGGGCGTACCACCCTAACTAAGACCTCAGTCTTGCGACTCAAATGTCCCTTGATGAAGCTTAAGCAAATCTGAGATGACAGAATCAGAACCCAAGGATCTTTTATACAATTTCATGTCCTCTTTGATAAGTTGGGAGTTCCTCCGGGAACAAAAGGTAATTAGGTTGACTTTGAAAGAGGTCCTCACTGGTACTTAGCTATAGTATTAACTTAAGGCAATTTTGCTTGTTCCTCTACCATTCACAGATTATTTGCTATACATTTCAAAAAGAGATGAATACAGAGATATCCCGTGTTTACAATTTATTTAAATGCTAGGACGGGGTAGGCAACCTATGGCACGCATGCTGATTTTCAGTGGCACTCTCACTGCCTGGTTCCTGGCCACCAGGCCGGGGGCTCTGCATTTTAATTTAATTTTAAATAAAGCTTCTTAAACATTTTAAAAACCTTATTTACTTTACATACAACAGTAGTTTAGTTATATATTATAGACTTTTAGAAAGAGACCTTAAAATGTATTACTGGCACGCAAAACCTTAAATTAGAGTGAATAAATGAAGACTCGGCACACCACTTCTGAAAGGTTGCCGACCCCTGTGCTAGGATGTTCTTTTGATCTCTGAATTATCAGAATACAGCATAGACAGGGACTTGATTACATTGTCAACCATACTCATACATATGTAAATACACAAAAACACAGACATCTCCCCACATGTCTTTTGAGGGTTATTGTGCAGGATGTTTAACCCTTTCTAGCCATGTGTCACAGTGGGACCCCTCCGGGGGGGCCAATTGCAGCACTGTAATCGACCAGGGTGTAGCCCTAGCGCAGAAAGCTGTACGCCTCTCATTGGGGTGGTTTTTTACAGCGCTGCAACTGTGCAGTTTCTGCGCACTAAGTGGCTTGGCAGTCTGTACACATTGGCAGTTACACCGCAGAAGCTGCTTTACTGTGCAGAAACTTGCCAGTGTAGACAAGGCCTGAGTCTTTGGTTAGTGATTTGAACCATGAGTCTTTTTCCAGAACTGTGGTTCTGTTGTGTCTGTACCAGAGGTTCTCAAACTATGGTCTGCAAGTTCCATTCTATGGTGTGTGTAGGCATGGGTCCTCTTATTATGTGCCTGGACTCTGGAGAAGATGCACATGTAAGGTGAGCTGGTGGCCTCAGGAGGTAGGTGAGAGGGGGCAGTAGGGTGAGAAGAGGGGGTTGGGGGAATTTAGGACGTGCAGGGCTATGGCGGCCAGAGAAAGGTGACTTTCCCCAGCTCCAGGGCTGCAGTTGCCAGGAAGAGACCCCCGTCCTTCCCAGCCCCAGCTCGGGGGCTGCTGCCGCGGGGGGGAGAGGGCACATCCATCGCATTAGAAAGTTAAGACTACTGATAATAGTTGTAGAACAAAAAAATGTTAATTTTTTTTATATAGCGTTTTTATCCAAAGCATTTTACAAGAGTTAGCTAACAGTACAAACAACATTTGGAAAGATCATTAAGTGGTCAGCCGAGACCCTCAGCAATTTTCAAGTGGTCTGTGGGGGAAAAAAAAAAAAGTTTGAGAACCACTGGTCTATACCTTGTTATCTGCTTCCTGACTCCCAAAGTCTTGGAATTGCTGCTTGTGTTGCTTTGTGGACAATTGGCAGTGCAGTAGGGATTTGGATAAGTGGGGTTTTGTGTTGGAGATCCAGACAGAAGTGAGTTAATATGCCAATAACTAGATTTCCTACATGGGTTCATACTGATGTATCATTTTTGGGTCTCATGACAGAAGTGGTTTCAAACATGGGTAAGATGCATAGTGCAAGCCTTCCTTTACTCTGATGCAGCCATTTACACTGGGGGATTGTACAGATATGTAGCTACGCAGGTATAAATTCCTGATATAGACAAGCCCTTAAAGAGAAGCTGATGCTGAAAATGCTGTTTGCATCATGTATTGGATTGTTTAGCTTCCAAGTTTGAAAATCAACATTTCCAGTGACTAGTGGTGCATATAATTATTTCCAGTTGTGTCTATAATAATATGCTATTCATTTTAGGGATCATGCCTTTTATGTATGTATTCTGAGGCGCTCATAATTATAATCAGACTATAGGAGAAAAGGAGTACAAAGCATACACTGTTAAAAACAAAGTAAATAGTTAAAATAGGACCTCTAAACTTCCTACAACACCAGCAGCGTTTGTTCCATCACTGTAGTTAATCCATTTCCTCCAGGAGGTGGTTGGTAGGTAGGTTGATATGGAAGAATTCTGCCCCTTATAGCGGGCTAAATCAGCCTAACTCCAGGGGTCACAGGGCAGGTCTTCACTACAGGGGGTGGGGGTCGATTTAAGATATGCAAATTTAGCTACGCGAATAGCGTAGCTGAATTCGACGTATCGGCGCCGTCCTCACAGTGGCGGCAAAATCGACCTCCGTGGATCCACCTCGACTGCTGGTGGAGTAAGCGCGTCAATTCAGGGATCGATTGTTGTGTCCCGACGGACACGATAATTAGATCCCCGAGAAATCGATTTCTACCAGCAGATTCAGGCGGGTAGTGTAGACCTAGCCACAGCCTGAAGTTTTTCACAGCGCTGAGGGATTTAGGGAGGAGGGGATGTTGCGCCGTTGTAAAGGGCAGTTTATGGCACTAACTGGCACTGGGCTTGCACCGTCCCCCTGTGCACTGGCCACGATCAGTGCGTGGCTCTCCCGTGCTGGCTCGTGCGCTTGGGATAAAAGGCAGGCGAGGTGGGCGGGCTCCTTGATCCGGGGATCGGGGCCTGTTGGGCGCGGCCGCAGCGCTCGCGGGGGCCTAGCAAGGCCGGGACGCAGGAGCGGAAGCGGGCGGCGGAGCAGGTTTCCGGGCGGACCGGGCCTGGGGACCGAGTTTGCCGCTGCACCGAGCGGAGCGGCCGGCCGGAGCAGAGAGGGAGCTAGTTGGGTGTCGCCATGAGCCGCCTGCAGGAGGACGATGATCCCTACGTGATCGAGGAGCCCAGCGATGAGGAGCCGGGGCAGAGCAGGTACCGAGCGACCCGGGGAGGGGGCGCTGAGAGAGTCCCCCGCAGAGCCTGACTGGGCCTGGCGTCCCCATGACTGACGCAGGCAGAGATACGCCAGTGCCCGGGCAGGACTCGGAGGAGTCACGCGAAGACTCTGCTTCTTTACTCTCCTCTTCTAATAAAGTTCCAGACTTCGGCCCCCACGCGCCCAGCGTAAAGTGTTTCCATTGATAATAGCCGGAATGTACAGGCAGGCAAAGTGTGCGAGCTGCTGCAGGAGAACTTCTTAAGAGTCCCACCTTAATGAGCATAAAACGTGATGTAACAAATGCTGCATACAGTTCTTGTTTACAGCTCTGCCGAAACAACCTGCGTATGACGCTTTACCTCTTTCAATCTCAGATCTGATCCCTCCATCATTTCTTGCCACTGTAAAAATTGATAATAAACCCTTAAAACCCATAGTTTTGCACAACTGTGAATGTCTCCATTGAAAAATGTTTAAAAGTACATATCCGTATTAGCTGTTGAAATTATTTCTTTTAAAAATAGAATTCTGCCAAGCTTATCTATATTCCCATTTCAGTTTCTAGTCCTACTTTGTTTTATTTTCAGTGTTTGTTTTGGATTATTCTAGTGCCTTGTAACACCTTGAAAACTAAATTTATAGGTTTATTGGCATTGTGATTGCATCAGTGTAAGTAAGCATACATGGTTCATTGCAAGAACACTACAGGAACACAAGTCTTACATTCTCATAAAGACTTCTTGAAAATGGTCTTGTGCACTGTTGACTCCTTCATTCCCACACTGTGTCACCACACAAAAAAGTTTCTTATTGCACTGCTGCTGTGCATTGCCAAGAAATGAAGCACAAGGGGCATATACTGGAAGGGAGGCAGGCTGTAATTTATGGTGAACAGTATATGATTTCACTCAAATGCAATTTCCTCTTTTAAAGGAAACATAATTTTCTAGGACTTTTTTTCAAAGCTTGCTGCTGTGGTTTTTCTTTTTTTTAACTTACAATCAGAGTAGTTTTTTGTTTAAACTGAAATATTTAAGACTCCACTTTACAATGCATAGGTAGATTGTTGTGCTTACCCACAGACCCACTGACTTCACTGTCAATTGCAGGATTGTGGCCTTAGTATATAGGCCAAAATGGAGCAGTTGTCCAACTAAAATGGTAAAATATGTCTAGTCATTAGACAGATAAGTTGTTCCAATACTTCAGAACAATTCAAAAGATATTTTTATTGCATCAATAGAGAGGTTGATATTTTAAGCCAATAATAATGGATTTTAATACTTAAATATCCTATAGCTCAGAAGATGAAGTGGATGTGCTTTTATATGGCACTCCCGATCAGAAGCGCAAACTGATAAGGGAGTGCCTTACTGGAGAAAGTGAATCTTCAAGTGAAGATGAGTTCCAAAAGGAAATGGAGGCGGAACTAAACTGCACCATGAAAACTATGGAGGGCAAGTGGAAGTCACTAGAAACAGGTAAATATATCTGTTTTAGTATCTGCTCTTCTATACAGTAGTCAATTATAGGGTGGCTGAGTTAATGCATTATTTGACCCTTCAGTTTGATTATGGGTGTGTTCACTGATAATCATAGCTGGACATCTGTGCTAAAATGATCAGCAATTAAATAGTTCACCTAGCCATTTAAATTAAACTACTATCAATATCCCAATGCTCATTTAGATGAATGGGGCATTTCACACTTTTCAGGGCTTTTCTTCCTTTCTTGGTCTTGCTGAGCTTCTGCTCTTTCATTTAGTGGCTTGCCTTCCTTGGTCCACTGCTCTTTTTTAGGGGATCTCCAGTCCTGTTCTCAGCCTGCCCTTCCTCCATGTACATGGGAGGCTGTCGCTGTACTTCTCCCCCTGCCTCCAGTGGCTCCCTGATGTTGCCAGGATTTGGATCACCCGCTCATAGAAGGAACAACAGGCAGCAGATTCCCTCCATCTGCTGCAGATCATCTTGAGAGCTGTCAGCCGCCACTTCTGACATATGGGACTTAGCCCCTATGACATGGGGCTCTAGGAAGTGGTCACCTACTGGCAATGGAGAGGAAAGAAGTAAAAATAAAATACTACTTATGTTACAAAGTGAAAAAGAAATTGCTTACTGCCCAGGAGCCCCCAGAGCTAGAAGAGTTTAATTGGAGAGTAAAGCTACACTAAAGGGTTTTTCTAGGGTAGAGTTTGTGATTCTGTTTTAACTTGAGTGAATTGATTGCTGATTAAATTGTGTTAACTAACAGAATTGCAAATGCTAATCTGGACATGCTACAAATATTTGTTCCAAGACACACACATCTGTGGTTTACCATGGCTGTCACAGAATAAATGTTTCTAGTCTTTGACTAGCATTTTAGATACACAGCCACTTTTTAAGTTTAGTGGTGCTGGTCTAACCTTAGTGGCTTTAAGCAATTTTCACAGCTGCTTTTGTAGGCTTTAAAGCTTTGCTTTCTCTCTGAGCACTTGTAATGTTCAGAAGACTTCTTAAGCGAAAATCAGATGCTTTTTAAGGCATCCAAAGCAGCTACAAGGATTCCCTTCTCAGAAGGAAAGGAATAGTGTTTGATGTGTTGAACTTAGTAAACCTCAGTCCCTGGGTGTGCCACAATTTTAAAGTGTTGGTATTGGTTAATGTATCGTGTTATAGCAAACAATGTTCAGTTCCATTTTGCGCTTTTCTAAGGGAAATTGGTACTGTTAGGAGGAGTATATTTGAATGTAATCAATTAGGGTGAATAACATGCACTTCAAACAGTGTCATTATTTTCTCAAAAAGCTATCAGATTGAAACTAGTTAAAATCAAAATGTGTTAACAGGCAGAAAAAAAGATTTTAAACCTTAGCCTCTTGACAGAACACTGATAAAAAATATTTTGAAAGCTAGTCTATGAACTGGGAGTATAATTACCTCTCTCACAGCAGCACTAAAAGCTGCTTCTGAATAGCCAAAGCTGTCCATCTCAAGAATGCTTCCCTCGGATATATTTCTGTTCTTTAAGATTCAGAGTGACATAGTGGCCAGGGGGATTAGTTTCTTACTGTGGAGGAGAACATGTGTTTCTTTGTTCCTGTTGCAAAATGCATAGTGAGGCATTCTTAATTACCTTCCCAAGTCACCTATTAAAAGGTCCATTTTAAACAGGATCTTTGATTTGCAGACATTTCAGCAAGGTAAATCTTGTTTTTTCAGTTAACTGGACAGAAGTGAACTTGTGCATAGTTTCCAGTTAATTATCTTTGTATTACCAAAGAGGCCATATAACACTTTCCTGGGTAGAGTTCCATCATTTGCAAATGATGGCTCACCCCAGACTATACTCTGACCATCCTTTTGAGCTGACATTATGTTCATTAGTTGCTTTATGATTGGTATATCTGTGCCTAGAGAAGATGATGTAGGTACATTTTATAAATTAGGCCCCAATCCTGCAAAGACTTCAGTGTGTGTAACTTTATGCGGTGTGTAGAGTCACATCGAAGCCAGTGCATGGAGCATCGTACGATCAGTTTAATATTTAGGAGTTTTAATAGCATTTACATAACACTATTTTCAAGATAAAGTTAGACACATCAGCTAGTGGGTTACTGGTGTAAACTGATATGTCTCAATTTAGACAGGTTCCCAACTAATGTGTCTAAATTTACCTCTAAATAAATTGTTAAGTAAGTGCTATTAAATCTCCTAAATATTAAACTAACCATATCATTCTCCATGCATTGATTTCAGTGGGACTACTCGCAGGGTAAAGTTATACATGTGCATAAGAATGGGATCGCAGTTGCTTTTTCAAACAGTTACAGAGAATGTGCCTTTGGTGATCCCTCGTCCTGAATTCACTCTTGGAGATATAGTCTGTTTCTGTATATTGGGCTCATGATGGCTAATTCTGGTGTTTTCTTATTTTATTTGGTTATAATTTCATAAATAGGTACTTCCTCAAGTACTGGACAAGCTGGAACAGTCACCACTACAAAGTACTATGACGACATTTATTTTGACTCTGATTCGGAGGATGAAGATAAAGTAGGTAAATGACTGACTGAGGAAAGAGTTGGCTACCTCTACAGCAATATTCCCTGCTCCAGATGTTGAAGAATCCTCCCTAGAGTCAGGGATTGTGGCTGGAGAGGGTCTTGAGGGCAGGTGGTTAGGTTGGGGGCATGTACGTCATCTCACACCACCATCAAAATTCTGAAAAAGAGGTGGTAATTTATATAGCCTGGTGCTGCATTAATCCTTCTCTGGCAGTGTTCTGCAGAAGAGAGTGATCCAAGTCTTTGTTTTAATGGGGATTATTTGTGATTGTAGCACAGCAAAAATGAAGTAGAAACTGTCACTTTGGTTAATTAGTTAAATAGATCAGTGGTTCTCAGTCAGGGGTCCCAGGCCCCCTGTGGGGCTGCAAGCAGGTTTCAGGGGATCCACCAAAATAAATCAGAGAGGGGCCAGCATTAGACTCACTGAGCCCCACTATCCAGGGCTGAAGCCGAAGCCCGAGCAACTTAGCTTCGTGAGGGCCCTCTGTGATATGGGGCCCTGGGCAGCTGCCCTGCATGCTGTCCCGATTGCCGGCGGCTTTTAATCTACTGGTTTTGCAGAAAAAAAGTTGTTGTGGCACAGGTGGGCCATGGAATTTTTATAGCATGTTGGAGAGTGGGGGGGCTCAGAAAGAAAAAGGTTGTGGACCCCTGAAATAGATAATAGTTCTCCGTTCAATGGATCATATTATTTGGGAGGTAGAGTTCAACTATGTTCGCACAAATTTCCCAGGTACACAGGCGGCCAGGAAAAAAAAAGACATCAGCAGCGCCGGATTCCTACTAACGATGAGCTACTCTATGATCCAGAAGAAGATGATCGAGACCAAGAGTGGGTGGACTCTCAGAGACGAGGGTAAGCAGCTGTAAACATTTTAACCCTTAAAAATATTCTTAAATATGCCGAGTAATTTAAAAGACTGTGCTATAAAGGCAGTATGTCTACAAGTTGTTTTGTTGATTCAGAGTTTCATTTGAAGTATATGAAATAAAAAAGCTTGTTTTAATACAGTGTTCACTTATCCACATTTACAGGTCCCTTTTTGTGATGCTCTGAACCTGTAGGTACTTACTTAGGGCCAAATCCTACTCCACATGAACTTCCCACTGACTTTAATGGGAGTTCTAGTAGGATTTGACCCTGCAAATTTCACCAGAGAAAGTAATGATTATAAGTGCTTCTTTATTACCACCCCATTTGCTTTATATTTTTATTCTTTTTATAAAAAAAAAAAAGACCTGATCCTGCAAGTCACCCATGTGTAGCACTCCCATTGAAGTCAAAGGGCGTTCCACATGCAGTGACCTTGCAGGATTAGGTGACATCTAATATTTTTTTTTATGTCCTGGCCTATTTTGATCAGCAGATTGTTTAGCTATAGGTCAGTGTTTAGTGTGAATGCATTTTTGTTTTTGACAGGCTTGGAATTTAGTGAGGCAGAAAAAGAGTGTTTGGATAAAATGGAAAGAGCCTGGAGCTTCTTTTCTGTGGGATTTTGGGGGTGTGTATGAAGTAAAAATCCTTTGGACTGCAGGAAAACTAGATTCTGCAGCTTAACAAGAACTGATGAAAGCAGAATTAAATGGCTTGTGGTGATTATACCTAGAAAAAATGCACCCTACTTCATGCAGAGCAAAGGATCATGATCCAAAAATCCACACTCAGTTAAGATTCAAACTCCTGAGCAAATTTGGATTGGGAGAGCAGGGTTCCAGGAGGTATCAAACATTTGCTGTGGGGAGGCGGGGGTGTGGTTGTAAATATGGCTTTAAGGTTCAGTCTAGATGCCTAACCTGTAGGGATGGATATTTTCACCTGTTTGTTTACTTCTTGGAAGGTACCAAAATATAAGAAGAACTCAGCAGCAGCAGTCCAAACCTCCAGCCATTCCAAACAGTGATGCTGTTTTGAACTGCCCTGCTTGCATGACTACATTGTGCTTTGACTGTCAGAGGTAATTACTGAACCATAAACATGAAGTGATCTTTCTGTAATGTCTTATTTTCAGCTGCAGTGAAATATGTAATTTACACTTATTAGTTTTAAACAGAGCAGATGTGTCATTATGGAAGTAAAGGTGTGGATTCAACACATGCATGCAATTATATTTCACCTTGGATCAGCAGTAGCAAATCTAGAATTTTTCTGTAGAGAGATTGGGGTGGGACCAGTATGGAAATAAGCAATATGTAGAAGAGTGTTTTGCAGATTCACTGAATATTTATGAGACAGTGATTTGCACTATATCTAATGCTTTTCAGAAGTGTTACTCTTAAAGATCCTGTCTGTTTTGCAAACCAGTCAGTCAGCTAGCGGCTTGGCTCAACCTCTGAATGAATAAATGATCAAATACTCAAATGATACTCAGTCTTTGTGGTACGTTGATAGTTTTTCAGCTAAGCAAGAGTTTGAATATGGGGGGAAGTGGTAGTCACAACCAGATTAGTAAATATCCCTAGCAATATGATGATGATATGAAAGAATATTGGGTCACAGTGAACTAGTATTCCAGAGCGAATACAGAACATTGAGATGAAGGTACTGGATTCATGTTTGACTAGTTGCGGGAAAATGCCTCTGCTCTTGCCCAAAACAATTTCCTGGAGTGTTCAAATTATTTTTAACTCATCTGGACTTCACTATCCTAAGCATTATAATGATCTTTGGTGCCTAGTCTTATGTCCTTGACACTAGGAGTTAATTTTCTTAAAATTGTAACTGAGTTTGTACCCACCTTATGGCAGATTTTTAAGAGAGAAATCTTAACAAAAACACAAATTTGAGAGGGGGGGAAATTGACACCTTCCTCTCTGAACCGTTGGCTGTCATCTGCTACACTTTGTACTTCTCACTTGGTCTCCTTTTGGGCTCTGTGCTGCATACAAAAGTTCCACACTCTTCTTGAGATGTAGATTTTAGAGACTGTATAATGATATTCACAAAGGCCCAGTCCTGAGAAGTGTTGAGCTCTCTTATCTGTTTACCTTAATGGCAGTTGCCTGGTGTTTCAGGCTTTGAAAGGACTGCTTGGCTAAAATGGAGGAAGTCACTGTTCATACTGAGAAGGTCTTTGAAAGCCAAAACTGAATGAGAGAAGCTAGGTATGTCTGGGTCAGGTTCATGGTTGAATAACAGATGCAAAGATTTGGGATCATCTTAGCAGGAAAGAGTTGGGAAAATACAGCATGGAGATAAATTGAGGAACAGTAAAACAGAATTTTATTAGGATGGAAACAGGCAAACTACGTGTGTGTGTGTGTAGTCACCCCTTCCTTGAAAGCTATCCTGCAGGTTGGATATGAATTGATCTTTCTAGGGTGAATATATTAGCTCAAAAATTTAACAATTTAAGATACTAAATTTAAATTGGCATGAGATTTGCGGTTCATAAACATTTTTCTGAAAAACAAAATTAGTTTTGGACTGATCTGAATCATGAGAAATGACAGGCTTAAAATGATTTTGAATATTTCATGTTGGGGGGCAAATGATGGTTCAAATTCTGGCTTCTAATCTTTGTCCCATTTTTAGCCATAAATCATCATTCATGGTTCCATAGTAATATAGCTATGTAGTTCAGGGATGCTCATCAAAATAAGCATTTTATTTATTTATTAAACAGCTTAACTTCAAAGCTAAAGAAACGCTACATTTTCCTGGCTTTTGTAGTTGTGATTTTTATTTTGTTTCTAAGACTTCACTTTTGACAGGCTGCTAGTCCTTTGATTTGGTGTTTCCTGTCTTCAATCCTACCTTCAGCAGTGTTAACCAGTTTTGTGGAAGCAGAATTCTATCAGAGAATATGACCATTGCATTTTCTTCTCTTCTTCCTAGACATGAATCCTACAAAACACAGTACAGAGCAATGTTTGTGATGAACTGCTCAGTTAACAAAGAAGAGGTTCTAAAATACAAAGGCCCAGTGAACAAGAAGATAAAGAAAGGGCATAAGAAAATGAAACACAGCAACGAGATCACCACTGTGCAAGCAAATCAGGAAGAGGAGGAAGTATATCATCCAGTCAAATGTACTGAATGTTCAACTGAAGTGGCAGTCTTGGATAAAGATGAAGTTTTCCATTTCTTCAATGTTCTAGCAAGCCACTGTTAATGTGGAAAAACAGCTGTGCTGTTTAAGACTGTATGAAATCTCAAAAATGTGGACAATATTTTATCCTTTAAAAAAAAACAAAAAAAAACCCTTTTAGTATCATTTGAAAAGATTGAAAGAATCTTTGTAAAACTTCATGGAAGAGATATAGTTAACTGATCATATTTGGGAGCAATATTCTGTCAGTCCCTCAGATAATGATAAAAGCATAGAGAGTTTAAATTCATGTACATAGCATGCCATATTTTTGTGTATTAGAACCATTGCTCATGTACATATGCAATATGTTGACATGTGTTAAACTGTTGCTTAGAATAAAAACGCTGTAAACTAGAGATCTTCTCCATACTTGGATTGAGTGATTTTAGGGTGCTGATTGTGTTGATGTATTTGGATACTGACCCCACTAAAGTGTCTAAATATGGATGTTTTTATTTATGCACATTGAAAGGTTTTGTATTCTTCTTTTTGCTTTGTTCCCTGCACGTCTCATTTAAGCAAAAATATTTAAACTTGGAGTTAAAAAATCCCTGAGCTTTAATTATAGATTGTAGGTAAGGTAAGATAGGCTTTTTTGTGTTTTCTGTTACATTTTTTCCCATTTGTGGTGACTGATGGACATGTCTTAAGAAGAAGATGTGTATACAATCAATTCTATTGTCATGGAAATAGCTTGGTTTTTTTCTCTTTGTTTAGTAGACTGACAATTTTTTTTATGGCAGCAGTTTTTCTTATCTGGTAGTTTGGACTTTTTGTCAACCAGAATACAAAGTCACTGTCAAGTTAATGGTTGATCCATTAATCTGCTTGACAGAGCATATTCCCAGAAGCTAGCCTCTTGGTTTTGATTACCTAAGAGCACTTTTTCTGTTGCTGTGGTTCTCAGTATTTCTCAGACTTTTCAGATTGGTGACGGCTTATTCAAAGTAAAATATTTTCATTACCTCCTTGTATTTACTTATGAAAGTGACAGTAAAAAGTATCAGTTATAAGCCTATATAATTAGTGTATGTATTTCGAGAAGTTGACAGAGAATACTTGACTTTGAAGGATAAAGGTGGACAGGGAGTGAGATTTTCTTTGCATGACTAATAACATTTTCAGTGCCTCAACCTCCCAGATTGCCTTTTGTGATTCCCCTGGGGCCCACAACCCACTGTTTGAGAAACACCGATATAGCTATCCAATGCTTCATCAAATCAAATAAGCAAACCTAGTAACCAAATGAGTAATCTGGAATTTTGTATTGAAGCATGCTGACCCTTTTAAGAATGGGTGCCATGAGCCCAGCTGGTGGTGATTTGGCCCTCAAAGGCAGAGGAACTCTAGGAAACGTAGTTCCAGAGAGAAATCATGTCTCTGCTGGGACTACGTACGGTGAGCCTGTGACTGAGTTTGAAGCAGGCTGGGATGGAAATAAGACCTAGTTTGGCCTTTCCACAGTGACAGACGTAGAGTTGGGAAAGAGCTACAAGGGTGGTGGCAGTGGAGTGGAGCCAGGTGCAGCCTAAGAGCAGGACAAGATGTAGAAAGAGCCAGGGAAGGGGTGATGTGAGAAGGAAGAGACACAGGCAGGCATAAGCAGAGTGGCACTGGGGTGTGATACCTGCATTTAGCTAGGGGCTGAGTCCCAGGATTTCCTTCCATCCTCCCTTAGCCCTGCTCCAATAGGGCAAAGGAATTGTTGAGCCAAGGTAACAAACTACAGAGCCTGACGAGGGGCAAAGTGGACTACTTTAACACAGAAAGGTCACCAAAAAGTCTGTGTTGTATTTTCACACCGCCTCAGCTACTGTATAGCCTTTGGAGAGAGCCCTGCATAATTAGGAGTGAAGAGCTAGCTATTGAGTGCAGGGAAGACTGAAAGATTGTGTTTTTGGTGGATTTTGAACTTTTAACCGCTGGGTCAAAAGCATCATGACAGCCTACAAGGCTGGACTAGTAGGGAAACTGAGGTGCAGATGTATGACTGACACTTGAAAGGTAAGCCACTCCCTTACAGCGTTCTTTTGGATCCTTTGCTGATTTTTTGACAACCAGGTACCAGCACAGTGGCAGTGACCAAGAGTATTATCTATGCTTGTCCAGAAGGTTGCTGCTGTTTCTTCTGGATGTGGATCTTGCCAGTGATCCATAGCTTTGTCATTTTGGGATTACTGCAATTTGCTTGCACAGAATTAAACTGCTAAACTAAGAGCAGTGTTGTAACCATGCTGGTCCTAGGATATTAGAGAGACAAGGTGGGTGAGATAATATCTTTTGGGCCAATTTCTGTTGGTGAAAAAGACAAGATTTTTGAGCTTACACGGATCTTGAAAGCTTCTCTCTCACCAACAGAAGTTGGTCCAATAAAAGGTATTACCTCACCTATCTTGCCTCTCTAAACTAAGAGCACTCGTACTTCAGCTGGTACAGAAGGCAACATTGCTGAGAGCAATATAAGGTGCTGGTTTTAATCTATAAAAACACTTAATTGGGTTGGGTCTGGTTACCTCAGGTTCTCTGTCCTTTTATAATACCGTGCCAGCTGAGATCATCTCAGGCACTCAAGCTCTGTTCCTTGGTTAATCATAAAGGGGTTCAGTCAGGCCATTTTCAGATAGGTGTCATTGACTGTAGAACTTGCTTTCCCCATTAATTCAGCAGAGACTCAATCTGTTCAACTTCAGATCAATGCAAGGCTCATCTGTTCTCCTAAACTTTTTCTGGGGTGTGGGAATGGATGTGGTGGTGGAAGTATTCTTAGAGTCACCCAAATCCCTCCTGATTGAGTATATGTATTTTGGGACATTAGGGCCTGTGTGCAAAGAAGCACATCTTCAGAGTTTGAATTGTATAAAACACAATCTTAAAGGGGTGGGGGAGAGAAATTCCATATGTCAGGAGTGTAAATACATTGGCAAATGGCAATCAAAAGATGGAAATAACTTTACAGCTATATTCAAAAGTCCAGATGAATTTGAGCACACAGACTTGCTAGAGTGACATAGGGAACCTTTTAAAGTAACTAGCTAAAATATAGTGCAGAGTGTTGTGTAATGGCATTATCTTCATAATATTAAAATATCAAATGGTGTTCCACATCAAATTGTACTGTGTATGTCACAACTGCAGCTGCTGCTGCTTTAAAAAACAAAACAAAAAACCATGGTTTGGCTTGACATTGTGCATAGAGCTATCCCTATATATGAAGCTATTCATACAGATGAAATTAATTTTTGTGTACTATTGACTAACTGTTTTTATTTTGTAAATAAATTTAACATTTATAAAAAAAAATAATTCATTCAACCTTAGGGGAAGATAATTTAACACATGTTTCAGTAATAGTCACCCTTTTATCCTATGAATTTTAGGGAAACTACTTGCAGCTGATGATGGTGGAAATATGAACCAACAATTCTTATACTGGACTGCAAAAATGTGTATTATTGTAAGCTTTTTGTGAAATGCAGATAGCAGCAATCATTTGGCAGTTTCCAGTAAAATTCATCACTTTTTCTAGTAGTCTCTGGAAGTGTTAGAAATCTATTTTGCTAAATAGCAACACTGATTGATTTATAATAGTGGAATTCCAGTTGGAAAAGAATTATGACAGTTTGAGTCTCAGAGGGAAGAGTAAATCTTGTTGGCAGAGGAGCAGTTGAAGATCTTAAGCAGTGTAATTCTGATTCTTCTTGTACACCTCTACCTCACTATAACGCTGTCCTCGGGAGCCAAAAAATCTTACCGCATTATAGGTGAAACCGCGTTATATTGAACTTGCTTTGATCCACCGGAGTGTGCAGCCCCGCCCCCCGGAGCACTGCTTTACCGCGTTATATCCAAATTCATGTTATATTGAGGTAGCGGTGTAATTGCTGTCCTCTCAATGCAGAATATGTAGACTTTTGCTAAGAATGTCTTGAGTTTAACTGTGAAAAATGTAAGAGTAAAATCCAAATCCATCTCTGTGGTAAACAAGATGTGAAATATGTGCATGAGACACAGGCTATGTCTACACTATAATCTTAAGTCAACCTATGTTAGGTCAACTTAGAGCCACTGCATTAATTACTGCAATGGCTGATGTCCACACTACCCTCCTTCTGTCGGTGGTGTGTGTTCTCACCAGGAGCTCTTCCACCAACTGAAGAGCCAATTGAGAGCCCAGCTGACGTTTTTGCTTTATTATGCCCCATGCAAGTTACAGGGTGGCTGAGGAGGCACACACCTGACTCCTCAGCCGACCTGGAACCTGCATGGGGCATATCAAAAGCGTCTTCTAACAGACGCTTTTCCCCTGTGCGGGTTGGGTCCGGGGAGGGGAGGCACTGTGTAGCTTCAGCTAGCCCGGGACTCCTACAGGCATGGAGGGGGGAGGCTTGGGGCTCCTGCAGGTGGGTGGCTTCAGCCAGCCTGGGGCTCCGGGCGTGCGGCTTCGGCCAGCCCAGGGCTCTTCCAGGCAGGAGTGAGGAGCCTGCGAGGCAGCCCAAGCCAGGAACTTGTATGTTAGCCCGGCTTGGAGCAGAGACCCAGCAGAGCCTGGCTGGGGAGATGGGAGTCGGCTTTCTTGTCAATTTCATGGCTCCTGCGGACATATGCCCTATGTGTCTCATTGAGGTGGTTTTATTATATCGGCATAGCAGGGAAGTTACATTGGTGGCAGGAGCATTTCGGTGTGCACACCTCAACTGTTTTGTCGATAAAAGCTGACTTTTGTTGACAAAACTGTGTGATGTAGACAAGGCCTAAAATAGGGTTGTCTGCCAGAAATCTGTATTCCAAACTTGTCCTGTTTGGGCACTGTGGGTGCTGGGTGGGGGTTGGCACTACACAGCGCGGGACCCCCACTGGTGTTGCAGGCCAACGGGAGCTGCTTGTGGTGGGAGCAGTGCACAGAGCCCCCCAGGCCTTCCCTTCCCCTAGGAGCTGCAGGGACATGTGGAGCTGGGTAGGGAGCCTGCCAGCCCTGCCAACCCTCCCTCCCCTCAACACCAGCGGGGGGTCCCAGGCCGTGTGGTGCTGCCCACCCCTGCCCACCTCCCCCCAGCACAAGCAGGGGTCCCAGGCCACCCTCCCAGCACCCACAGTGCCCCCCAGCCACCCTCCAGAGCACCCACGGACCCCTGCCCAAGTTTTAGTTAGGGGCATATAGTAAAAGTCATGGACAGGTCATGGGCTGTTTACTGCCTGTGACCTGTCTGTGACTTCTACTAAAAATACCCATGACTAAAACGTAGCCTTAGTCATAAGTTGTAGTCCTTGGCTCCTTCAATAGGATCATTGTACATCGGATGTCCGTCGATGGGCCATCAAGCAGGCCTAGTGCTGATGCCAATCTATCCGGTGGTGT